CCCCCCCCCCTCCCCTCTCCTCTCCGCTCTTCGTTTCAGGCTACGAAGATGCCGGACTCCGAAGAAACGCTGTACAAGATTGCCGCCCGTAACCTACGCGAGTACAACGGCGTGCCCTCGATGACCCCACCCAAGCTCGTCAAGACCTTGGCTTTCCTCAAGCTGAACCCGCAACGCCTCGTGAAGCAAGGCCTTGCTCCCAAGATGCTTCTGGCTCGCATGAAGGCCGAAACCGCCAACAACGCCAAGCTATCGAAGGTTCGTCTTGGTGACGGCAAGAACAACGAAGATCTCGCCGAATGGGTCGCCGCCGGCATGGAATTTATGAGCGTGGAGGACGACAAGAAGGAGTGGAACGACGGCTTCGTGTCCGTCGAGCCCGCAGAGACTTCCTCCTCCGACAACGGCAACGAGGAAGAGAACGACGACGCTGCGCCTGAGGTCAAACAGAACCTCATCCACAAGGCATTCATCGCCGGCGGCATCCAGCTCCGCCCCCGCGAGGTGCGGCCCCTGCTCGTCGCCCTGGACGTCCGCCCCTGGCGGCTGGCCAAGCTCGGCCTCGTCGACGGCAAGGATCTCCGCGCCATGCTCCAAGCCGAGAAGAAGGCCGCCCACAAGCGTCACGGCCCGGGCCACGGTGGTCCCCGTGGCCCCACCGGCGGCTTCGCCCGTGGTCCCGCTGGCCTTATCATGCACGTCTGCGGTGGTAACCCAGGTCTCGGTGCCGGTGGTCGTGCCGGTCCCGGTGCCGGTCCTGGTGGTTGTGCCCCGGAGGCGCGAGGCAACGTGGTTCCTCTCGGGTGGGGCAAGATGAGGGCCGTAGGCTGCGGCAAGCCCCGCGTAGGAATGATGATGCCCCGCCGCTGCCACCCCCACGCCGGCATGCCCCCCCCTCCCCCAGCTCACATGGAGCACGCGCGTGCGCCCGGCGGCGGCGGCGGCGGTGTTGGCCAGCAGCAGCACGAGCGTCACCGCTAGGGGGCGAAGATCTTCATCACCACGAAGCCGAAGGAGGAGGAACCTAGCCGTCTACTACCTTTCTGGTCTTGGTGTCGCTTTTCGTGGCGCAAGATTGAATAACGGCATGAGAGTAGTCGAGGTGGAACAGCCTTGTCTTTCGGTATTATTTGCAATTGGGCAGAAGCCTCCCTCGGAAACACTGATACGAGGGGTGGAGAACGGAAGGATTGAGTAGACGAGAACCGTTTCACCGTTTGGCTTCTGCACTCATGCAGCACTACGATAGGCGACAACGCTCGCTCGATTCGCCCTTCGGAAGATGTTTTTTGTTGGCGTTTTGACGTTCGTTCGTAGTTTTGTACTTGGTAGTGATTTTGCTTGTGGTGATAAAATAAGCTGATCACGGAAGCATGAATACTTTCGCTTTCGAATGTGACGTGAAGTGCTACAACGAGTGCGGCGCGAAATGGGCTCGGCGAGCTGAGTCAGCGCCGGTAGCTTGTTTGAGTTTTACCGTCTTGCCGGACAGAGGCGCGATGCTTCAAGCTTGTATTATGACTATTTGATGTCCGTAAGCCATCCGAATTGAGAGATTGGTCCATGGCCTACAGCGAAGTTCTTCGAAGTAGTGGAGAGAGCAGGGGGGTTATCTTGTAAAACAGTCGAGGGGTGATGACGGTGTGTGTCCTGTCGTGGGCTGTTGTATTGATGGGTATTTGCTTTCCCAACCGAGCTTTCATGGACGGGCGCTTACGCAACCAGGAGTGTAGTAGCCCCAGGCTGGTGTGTGCGCACAGAGGGAGCAACATGTTGGCGCAAATTGTATGGATCTAAAAATTCGACCGTCGAGGTCGCAAACAATATTTGTCTGAGAAGCGGTCGCAGTAGTTGGACCGCCAGACACCGTAAAGGTGCGCGCTCGATTGCGTGCTCTGCCAGGTTCAAAGGGCTGCTATTGCCCAAAAAAGGTCGATTGCGTTTTTCTCGTCGACGGCAATCTTACGCGCGTCGGTCGGGTTCGCACCCTTGAGTCTTGTGGAGGAGACAACCTTGCAGTCAACAAGTGTCTTTCCGAAAAATACGACGGTTTTGGCTTTTGCCGGCCGCGAAGAACACAAGGTCTCTCCATTTGGCGAACTCCGGCCGATGGCGTCTGTCTAGCATCATCGTGTTTGGCAGCACGCAGCAACAGATTGGGCGACGGAATACGCCTTGGTATTAACAGCACGCACCCCATTGGTTCTAGCATGATGGTACGGGATTTCAGCTCTTTGCCTCGACGCCCACGACCGAACCCGTAGACCCCTTGCCGGAGAAAATAACCCTCCAAACCTTGACTAGACGCGGGGGCTTGGTTAGAGTGCATTGGGAAGGTGCTACTTTACCGTTCGGGCACTCTGCATCATTAGTCGTGCCTGTGGAGGCGCACGTGCACTCAACCACAATCATCTTGCCAGTCTTGCGACGATAGTAACATCGCCCAGGACACCAGGCATTCTCTCCTCCACACACGTCACAAAACCGCTGTTTCTGATTGTTCTAGGTGACCTCAGCTGGCGCGCTAAACATTTACATAGCGTCGATATTGGTCAGTAAAAAATGGCATGATCCATGCTATTCACCAACCCAACTGAAACATGCACATAACTCAAGGGACACACTTGTTTGCGCCGTACCCGCGGCAGGGGAGCCCGACGACACAAAAGAAAGCGTGCCTCGGTGTGTCGTCTTGTCTTAAAACAGACCGACAATATTTTCGTTGGTCAGCCGGCTGGCGAGGGTCGATTCTATTCATTCATGAAAACACACACAAAGAAACAGTTATCTCGCACCTCGCACAGTCACACAACAAGCATCACCAAATAAGGATTGCCGGCAAGAAAGAGTCCTCCTTCAACCCACTCCAACGCTCTTCGTTGTTCGTGGCGGCAACATCATCAACACGGCCCCTCTCTTCTTGGGGGCAAGAAAAACGATAGTTGTTGAAAAGAACCACAACAAATTTTCACCTGCCAACACATGTCTACCAAGAAAAAACACAAGGCGACCAATCACAGGGGTCTTCCACATCGACAACAAACCGTGGAACCTACCTCCCCTTGTCCCCCCACCGCGAAGCACCGAAATATCACGCAATTTTGCGGAATGCCTCCCTGTGCACGGTTCATTCCGCAGCGCGCGTCAAGTCGTGCGGATACTCCGGGATGTCGATTTTGTATCCCCGGGGGGGGGGACACAGAAGCCTCACTCACGCCTGGAATGTTGAAAAAACATGCAGGAAAAAATTTGGGGATACTGTACCCCCCGGAAATATGGCGGGGGGGAGGGCGCGTCGATCAAACCTTATGGCCTTCCAGCATAGGACAATCAAGTTCTCGTCCCGCCACACCCTCAAATTTTGCACAGCTCTAAGGGGTGCTCCGCGGTATCCGTGATGGAGGCCGTTGGTCAAAGTCACCCACCCACACACCCCTGGCTCTTCACAGTTCGTATGACGGTGCCCCTTCCATCAAGGGTTACATCCCTGCCGCGGCTCGTTCACACCCCTCTGGCCAACGCTGGCTTTCATTTTACCCTCCCCCCCTCCGCGTAGTTGGCCTCCGTTTTTCCTTTTTCCCTCCTGATGGAACCCGAAGTCGTGCTGAAAAATGTAAAATGTGGGCTAGACAAGATCGATCGCCGCACCAGACCGTCCGGGAACCTGATTCGGGGCGATCGAAAGAGATGTGACCAAAATCAGCTCCAGCAAAAGGGGCAAACGATTCTCGAGTGTGCCAAAGGCTTGTGGGAAGTGGGAATGGACAGCCCTGTAGTATGGGCCGTTCGAGTGGGAATGGACAGCCCTGTTGTATGGGCCATTCGAGTGGAAAACTGCCATCTATATCCGGGCATAAGAGTGTGTCGTACACCAACGCTCACGACCCAAGCTCCCCAACAAACGGCAGTGCTGACTGGACGGCCATGCTTGTCGCGCGCGGGCGTGCTCTTCACTTCAACCCATCAGACAATGCATGATTCTTGAGGCAATAATTCAGCAGCACTATCCACCTCGCCCAGGGCTCCTCCTCCCAACAAGACAAGGCGTTGTACTTGCTCTTACCCCTTCGAGGTCGAGGTAGTTCACGGTCTGGAGTGGCTTCTGCTGTCGTCATGGCACGCGCAAAAGCAAAGCAGAACACCAGCGGCATCAAGTCGTAGTTCGCATTCCATCCGCCCAGCAAGCAGAGCAGCAGCAGGGTATTGACCCCCGCCGTGTCAGGTGATCCCGTCGAGTGCACCCACAAGACGTGACGATCAGGAGCGCGAGGCGAGCGAAAGCAAATGAGGGTTAATCTGCGCTGTGAAAATAGTCTAACGAAAAGGGTGTAGCGAACATGCGGAAACGCCCACGTAATCATGTGGCGGGGGGGGGGGGGGGCGACGCAGGCTCGTCCACGTGTTTTACGAAGCACCCCTGGGGGAGCGATACTTACGTTTACGCTACCAAAAACAAAATGAATTACTCGAGTGCTCTCCCCGCCGTGTGCAGCAACCACCGTAGCAACAACGAGCAACCAACTCTTACCCTCCTCTGCCTAGGGCGAACGAATGTTGATGGCGACGAAACTGCCCTGACGTCTCCGCCGTGCCATCTCGCCCAAACGAGTGGCTTCGGTCGAATTCTTGACGAGCCAACCGCAATGGCAAAGGAAGGAAGCAACGCCGCGTATCGCAGGCTGCAGTCAGTTTGACCCACTCTCACCGAAAGATGGGTATTCTAGGACAAACACTTCAAACTACGACCACCACCACCAACGGCACCAAAACTACCTCCAACGCTTCTCCTTCCAACGATCGCTTCACCAAGCCCAGCCCAGCAGCAGAAACAGGAATCGAGCACAAGACGCGAAACAAAAAAAAACATCCTCCTCACCGATCGCTTTCCTCCCGCAGTCGACGGCCTACTGGTCGACGAGGGAGAGTACCCGTACAGGCTGCCCTCGTTGCCGTTGCCATCGTCGTCGTCGTAGCCGGTGCTGCGGCGGGCGTGGCCACCGTGGTAACCTTCCCGCAATTCCGTCATCTCTGCTTCTTCCGACCCCGGCCTTTCCTGGCGCACCCACGGTGGAACCTGCCGGACCGGACGGAGTCGGCAAGCGAAGGGGCTGGGGGGTGGGTGGGGGGGTATGTTCTTTCGGTCGGCAGAAGGGACTGAGAGGAGGTGAGAAAACGACCGAGAATAGATACATGTCCACCCTCCAACCGAAAAACCACGGACGACAAAAACGGCCCATGACCACGAGACTGTCGGGGTAGCGGCGCGACTTCCCGTTTTATCTGTTCTGCGATACGTTTGCATCATCAGTGCACCCTCTGTCTCTGCTCACTCAACCCCCCCCTTACTATCTTTACTTTACAATTCTCTCCGCGTCGCCTTCCTTGAAACCCTCGTTCTATTCAGTCGAAAGGATATACCTGCGCAATTCTTCCCCCCCCCCCCGCTTGGTGATGTGCTATAACAGCCTGGTCCGGTGAATAGAACTCGGCGTGCTCCGTCCCGGCTTTGTAGGGATGCGGGGTCTGACGCCCACGGCATGGGCGGTCATGAGTACACCCCTCCCCCCCCCCCCCCCCCCCCCCCCCCCCCCCCCCCCCCCCCCCNGATGATCGGTCCTGTGGTAACGCTGCTCCGCCCTCTCGAGGACGCACGCGTGGTCAACGGTCTAACGGCTAAGGCAGGCAACACAAAATAGTACGACCCCCCCCCCCCCCCCCCCCCCCCCCCCCCCCCCCCCCCCCCCCCCCCCCCCCCCCCCCCCCCCCCCCCCCCCCCCCCNAACCCTTTGCGACTACTTGCCTCGCCCGGAGTGCCTCCTCGCGAGCTCGAGTTGGAAGTGCGGTCCTGGAGCTGAACATGGCGGGTTGGCTTCTTTCGGTGGAAGAACCGACGGATCTTCTTCCCCAAGCCGTTCGACTCCTTGCTGCCGCCTTGGCTTGTCGCGGGAGATGCCGGCCGTGCGGTCGACCTATGCTTGTCCCGAAGAATCAGAAAGCAGCAGTGGCGGGAAAGAAGGCACCAACACACGCACGTCCAGACGCCCACACGCAGACACGATGAAACACAAGGGAAATTGTCGTTTCCGGGTGGGGAAGGGCAATGGAATTATGGGATGGGCAACTCGCAATGCGTGGGCCCTCCCAATTATGTACCTCGCAGCTCACGACCATGCAGCTGAGGCCTTAGTGTGCCGCCCACGCTCACTTTTGCAGGAGAGGAAGCGGCTTCAATATTCATCACGCAGAACCAAGCGATGGGCGATTGACTCGCTCTACAGAAGTACGCAAACATACCAGAGAGAGAAGCGTTTCGCTAAAGCAAATTACTCCAAGCATGGTGGGCAGGACCAGAGGCCGACTTCCATCCTCCCAAGCAAAAACTCTCTACGCTCTTCTTCAAGATGGTGCCGCGCTTTCACTCCGCGGCTGCCGCCGTTTACAAGAACAGCCGTGGGCCCTCCACAAGGCGGGTGTGCGCTAAACCGATCCACCCGGGACCCGTTGCTCCTGCGCGCGATGGGCACTGCTCTGTGTCATACCGCCACTTTTCGTACCGACACACACCAATATTGTTGATCATCATTTTCAATCAGCCCTCGCAACCCGGAAGAGGAGCTGTCTCCAAATCGTCGTCACAAATAAGATATTCTTCTCTCTCGCTGAGCCCCCCCCCCCCCCCCCCCCCCCCC